TTTCTTCTCCTTCAACTCTTCTTCGTTCCCTAAAAGTTTCTTCGAGCGCTGTACTACATCCAACAGCATTCGACCGTACGCGTCGTCTTGCCTCTCCCAGAGTGCTCGTAAGCATCTCTCCACACATACTGTCTCTTCTCCTTTCATTTTCCCGGCTATTACTCTTCTTCACTATCTCTCCTCCACGTTTTCTGTGAAACATGTCGACTCCTGACATCTCAAACAACTTAACTCCACTATCCATATGCCTCTGTGCTCGTGGACCACTTGACGCTCTATTCCCGTCCTCAGTCTGTCCACATCTTTCCTCATTCCTACTCAGCACAGTTGCATTCGCCTTCCGACTCTCAATTTCAGCAGTCTGGGCTCTACTCAGGTCCGCTCTCTTCACATGATTCTTCTTCGGCTGGGTCATCCTCACTTTCGACCTCACCGAGACTCCATTTGCCTGGGCTGAACCTTCATCAAACAGCCATGCTATATCTACATCGATATCTTCCACTGGTTGAATCGACACTGTATCATCTTCTCCAGCGTCTTCCTTGTCGGCCACCTCTGCCTTCCTCACTACCGAGACGGGGTACTCAATGGCTTGGCGGTCTCCTGACTCATCCCCTCGGATGTCAGTCAGGTTCACACTCTCAGGTGTCCCACCCATGCCGTGGCCTTCTGGGCACTCCTCTGGCACAGTCTCCACTATGACTCTTGGCAACACCTTTGTCCCGCACAAGTCATTCCCCAGGATCACTTGGACTCCTGGAACAGGTATGTCGGGGCACACTCCCAACATCACCTCCGCCGACACATATTCCGACCTTAGCTGGACAGTACAAACGGGCATGTCACTCTCCGACAATAACCCATATACTTTCATCTTCCCACTGCCAGCTAACCGTCGATCATTCCCAATCAGGCTTCTCGCAATCAAGCTCTGATTAGCTCCGGTATCTCTTAAGATACCAACTTCTACCTCAGGTTGGCCTCCTACACTGATCCAACCTTTGCTCATGAACGGCCTATACCTCTCGTTCACCAAGTTTATCTTCTGTGGTTTGTCTCGGAACACATTAATATTTTTACTTCGGGGGTCACACATGGCCAGGGTCACAACTCTCTTGCCCTGCCGACAATCTCGCATCACGTGACCCAATCCGTTACAATTGTAACATCTCATCTGGGAAAAGTCTCTTCTATATGTACCAGAGTAGCTCTGACTCTGCCCACTCGTATTGGAGTTCCTCGGGCCAGACGTACTACTCGTACTCTGTGGAGCTTTACTGGACTCTTGGTTCCCTGGATAACGATTAGTTTCTCGTTTAGCTCCTCCATCCTCACTTTCAGATGAAGTGCGCGACCTACTCTTCTGAGTTTTAGGGTACTTACTTTTATCTGCCCATTTATCAAAATTTTTCTCACCCCAGACTCTTCTGGGTCTCTCATAATTTCTTCCTCCCCAGACTCCATTGGATCTGCCATTGCTGCATCTCGCCTCACTTCTCACTCTGTTCTCCCTCAAGCTCTTGTACGCTTCAGTAATCATATCCGCCCTATCTGCGGCATCTTTCACCTCCATTATCCCTGCTTCTTGGATCTTGAACTTTGTTTCGGGATGCATCATCTCCAAGAACTTCTCCATGACCATCAGTTGCTTCAGGTCAGCATAAGATCCAACTCCAGCAGCCTCAATCCACTTCTGGAATCGTCTTTCCAGATCCCTTGCTGTCTCAGCAAACGTACACGCTCCAACTTTGATCATCTCTCTGAAGCGCTTCCTATAAGCTTCTGGGGTTAACTGAAACGAGCGCAATATGCTGCTCTTTACTGTGGCATAATCCTGGCACTCTTCCAGTGACAATTGGGTGTATGCCTCCCTGGCTGCACCGGTCAATCTTAACTGGACCAGCTGGGCCCATTCCTCCTGTGGCCACTCCTTGATACTGGCTACTTTCTCAAAATGCTCGAAGAAGCTCTCTGCCTCTTCGGGAACAAACAAGGGAATGTCCTTCTCCCTAACCCTAACATCTGGTGGGTGTGATACCTGGGTGGTGCTCTCTGGCAACCCATGTTCAATCCTTTGCTCAGCCAAGGTTCTGTTCGCTTCTATCTGCATTTGTTTTGTTCTCTCTTTTTCTTTTTCGACCTGGGCTTTTTCTTTTTCGACCTGGGCTTTTTCTTTTTCGACCTGGGCTTTTTCTTTTTCGACCTCTAGTCTTGCTTTCTCTTTTTCTTTCTCTTGTTCCAACTCCAGTTCTCTTACTCTGGTTTTCTCTTTTTCTACTTCCAGTCTGGTTTTCTCTTTTTCCTTCTCGGCTTCATTTTTCATCTGAAGTTCTAATTTCATCTTTTCCAGCTGGAACTGTCTCTCCTTGTCCTCTCGTTGTTGCTGCATCTGGAGCTCTAACTGGAATCTCTCCAAGCTCCTATTTCGGCTACTCCTGCTACTGCGGCTACTCTTGCTGCTCCTACTCGATCCCTGGGATCTCACTTCATCCTGCCCATCATCCTCCTTTCTACTTTCAGCTCCTTCCTGGGCTCCTTGTTCTGCCGCTTCACTTCTGGCTCTCAACTGCCTCAGGATCTCATCCTTCATCCCAGCTACTTTAGATGCTTTCAACCTGATGCCACATTTTTCTGCTATTTGTTTCAATTGATCCCTCGTGCAACCTTCTAAATCCTCAGGCTTGCCTGACTCCACAAACGCTTGCACCTTATCCATCTTTGTCCTGTGAGTCTTCCCAAGAGAGAGAGTATACACCTGCGGTCACACAGTTTATCTATTTCAGCAAGGGTGTACAAATCCACTCTTGGACAGGGTGTGGGTGTGTCAGTTCACTCTCCCGGACAGGCCCCCAATTTATTATATAGACTGTGGGTTGGTTGGTGTTGTCGTCGTTGATCCTTCTCTATGGACAACCCAACCCACAACTCGGCAGAGTGCTTATACTAGGAGATCACCCTTGGCGCTTCTGGCTCTTGGAGAGGGGCTCAACGTCACACGTTCAGGGGATGCGGCTCCAACACTTAGCCTCGTTGTCACGTGCACACACCCACTCGAGCCGCTGTGACTCCCCACTCTCTCCTTATGAGATATGATCTCCTCAATCCCCCTATGACTTACCAGTATTACCTCCTACCCTGTCCACAGCAGTGGTTCATGGTTCTTCCTCTCTCTCTCTCCTTCTTTACTACCTCCTGGGAAGCCTCACTAGGACAAGGGCAAACACCAGCAAATTGTGACACATTTACTGAACAAAGCACATACACGATACATACACACATATAATAATAATGAATCCTATACTCTATAATATCCAAATCAGGTTGCACTCCAATACCATCAGAACTCTATTATCAGCTTATCAAGTGGTATCCCAACTCCTGGTTCACCACCTGGTACTATTAACCTCCTCAAGTTGGTCAAGCCCACACACTGTTGCACCATCAGCAAGATAACATATATATATAGAAAATCAGCATTTGAATACAATAACATATACCAGTATAAATGTTCATTGATACTTCAGTATAAAAAAACTCCTTGACATAAGGATGCCAACAGTCACTCACCTCTCACTGCGTCTTGCACGCTACTGACAACCAAACACTATCAACTCCCTATAAGTAATCCACCAGAACTTCCCCTTCCACCTCTGGAAGTTCACAACCCTAATATCCTTAGGTTCTGCCGGGCTTCACTACCAGGATCCTCTGCAGCTCCTCCAGGCTGCTATCATGAAGTTTCCTTGTGCAACTACGGTGCTTCACCCTTCTGTTAGGTTCTTCCACAGCTCTCTTGGCTGCTACACCACCTCTACAGAAGCACGTGACACTCCTCTTCACTGCTGCTTCTCCTCACAGCTCGAGGTCCTCTGCTCCACTACCTTGGAGTCTCATCAGCTACTTCCTCTGCTGGCTTCGAAGTTCTCAGCAACTTCTTCCCCAAAGAACAAACCACAGATTAATTGGTCGAGGGCGCTTTCCCTCTGACGGCGTCTGGTCAGGGCGCTCCACACAGCCCACAATAATGCTTCTGGGCGATTTAATATCTGCTCGTCGACCAGGACTTGAGACCACAACGTTCCCAGCTCGATTCCACAGCTGGTACGTCCGCACACTTCTCTTCTCTTCGAGATATATCACTAGGGGTTCCCTTCTGGCGGGAGCTCAAACGGAGCGCGGCTTCCCCCTGCGATGTCTGGCACTCAAGTGAGGTCAAAGCCCTTCCAGAAGCGAGCCTCACGCCTCCAGCAAAATGTCCACATCTCCTAGCCAGTCATTTATCTATTTCCTTACTTACTGCCCATAATCTCAAACTGTTACACATATCCAAGCAACTATTTTACATATGGATTATTACCTCAATATTTGCTAGACCTTCTAATTAGGTCAGGCTTGACGAATAACTCTCAAGAAGGGAGACTCGTTTCTCCTGCAGGCTGGGATCATAACAAAGTGTAGCTAGACTCTTTGAAGGAAGTGTAGCTAGTCTCTTTGAAGGAAATGTAGCTAGTCTCTTTGAAGGAACTGTAGCTAGTCTCTTTGAAGGAAGTGTAGCTAGTCTCTTTGAAGGAAGTGTAGCTAGTCTCTTTGAAGGAAGTGTAGCTAGTCTCTTTGAAGGAAGTGTAGCTAGTCTCTTTGAAGGAAGTGTAGCTAGTCTCTTTGAAGGAAATGTAGCTAGTCTCTTTGAAGGAAGTGTAGCTAGTCTCTTTGAAGGAAGTGTAGCTAGTCTCTTTGAAGGAAATGTAGCTAGTCTCTTTGAAGGGATTGATTGATTGATGAAGATTAAGCCACCCAAAAGGTGGCACGGGCATGAATAGCCCGTAAGTGGTGGCCCTTTTGAGCCAATACCAGTATCAAGAGCTGATACTGGAGATCTGTGGAGGTGCGACTGCACCCTGCGTGACGGGAGATGTCTCCCGTCTTTGAAGGAAGTATAGCACATTTCTCTGAAGGGAGCTTAACTAGCCAGTAGTAGTCCTGCTTGAGATGACCTTTGACAGGTCACAAAGGTCACCGGAGGTTATGTAAGTTCGGCTCGTAATGCTTCCTCTTCTTCTTATGGGTCCTGTAGCATAGTGGGCTACATCTTCGACTCCCATGCAGGATCCCGGGTTCGATCCCTAGGCGGAACAGAAATGCTTGGGTACGTTACCCTTCATCTGATGCCTCTCTTTACCTAGCAGTAAATAGGTACCCGGCAGTTTGGCAACTGTTGTGGGGTTGAATCCCGGAGTATGAAACTAGTTCGACCTTGGGGGATGGGGGCCTGGTCGAGGACCGGGCCGCGGGGACGCTAAGCCCCGAAACCACCTTAAGATAACCACAAGGTAAGGGGGACCTCGATAAGCTTAAGCCTAACAGGAAATATATATCAATTGTTGATTCACATGTACGGCATTTAGACACATGTAAATTTTAACCAGATATCTAGAAAGACGCTGTGTTGATTTTAGGATATTATATATTACATTATCCTAAGCCTGTGGTTTACTTGTGCTAGATAACATTGATAGCTAGTTACACCTTAATTCTTCTCTCTCACTGTGGTTCACTTGCATGTCTTGGCAACACTGTGGTAGTGATCTTGAGGCGACCTCGCCCAGATGGCATGAGTGATATGATTATAAGTTTCCAAGCGTCCGAGAGAGAGACTGGGAAACTCCCATGTTTTTGCTCTCAGCAAGAAGCATACTAACAGAAAACGTGTTTACATGATAGGAGATCAATAGTGAAAGTCTCAACATGGGGGAAATGTAGTCAGAGAATGTGTTAATGTCAGAGTCTCCGTGGTGTAGTGGTAAGACACTCGCCTGGCGTTCCGCGAGCGCTTTGTCATGGGTTCGTATCCTGGCCGGGGAAGATTTACTGGGCGCAAATCCTTAACTGTAGCCTCTGTTTAACGCAACAGTAAAATGTTTACTTGGTTGTAACAACGATTCTTCGCGGCGGGGATCGTATTCCAGGGACCTGCCCGAAACGCTACGCGTACTAGAATGCTACGGACTACTAGAATGACTAGACTACTAGAATGACTGACTACTAGACTAGTACGCTACGCGTACTAGTAGTCTAGTAGTCTAGTACGCTAGCATTCTAGTACGCTACGCGTACTAGAATGCTAGGACGCTACGCGTCCTTTGTACATATGTACAAATTGTACATATATTGTACATATATCTAAAAAAAAAGAGCACCAGCAATAAAATCGAGCAGCTCCCAGCCGCAGAAGTTGTCAACAACAAGGAGCTTAGGAATCTGCTTTGACCAAAAGGTTTGGTAAGACGAAGTTATATGACGTGAATGGGAAGCGGAATTCTGGAAATATTGGATGGGGGAGGTAAAGAAATGTTAAGTGGTCTGATCACTGTTGACTTGGGCGTGTTGAAGCTACTTTTGGCGTGGTGGTAAATGTGGTGTGAGTTTGGTGGCAGGTGAGTTGGCTTATCCATCCTCCCTTCAGCCAGGGATGTTGACGGTGTTATGACAGTGGAAGCCGATGGTGTTTGCTACATTTGCGTTCGCTGTTGCTTGCCGCTCCAAGCAAGTCTGTTGTACCAAGCTCTCACAAGTCAAGCCTGGCCACGGGCCGGGCTTGGGGAGTAGAAGAACTCCCAGAACCCCATCAACCAGGTATCTCTAGATGGGGGGAGGGGGGTAGCCTTACTCTCTGGGTCCTGTTGGCCATTCCAACGGCATCTCAATGTCCTGTTTACCCGTTGTCGAGAACGGAAACAACCATAGTTGTCTAATTTATCAATACCTATATAGTGGGAAAAGGCACTACGAAGGACCGTTTTGTTTTTTTCCAGCGGTCCTTCGTAGGGCCATGGGTTTTTCCATGTTTATCCCCAGCGGTCCTCCGTAGGGCCTAGTCCATTTCGTTACCCCGGCGAACGAGTCGAAGTTTTTTATCAACGGTCCCTCGTAGGGCCATGGGTTTTTCCATGTTTATCCCCAGCGGTCCTCCGTAGGGCCTAGTTCATTTCGTTACCCCGGCGAAACGTTTCGTTTCATTCGCTGGGTGAAAAGAAACATCAGGTCCCTCGAGTGTAAGCCCAGGACGCAGACTATAGTACTACAGGACCTATATGGCTGATGATTGGTAGGTGAATGGTGATTGTTGAGTGAATGCTGAGTGCACGTTGGGTGCTTGTTGAGTGCACGTTGAGTGCTTGTTGAGTGCACTGTGGAATTCTTCCACAATTCCAAGAGACGTGTCAGTAGGCCTCAGGTCATGGCTAAACACACTGTCGGCCTGACTACATTCCCTATTTATTAGACAATGCAATCAACCCTTGTCGCGTCCTCCACATTCCCTGGGATGACTGGAATACTCAATTGAATGAGTCGAGCAAATTATAATCTACCTTTGATAAATGTAACCCAACTATCTTGACTTAATGGAACAATGATTTGTACCCAGAATAATTTGATAACTGTCACTCCTTTTATATTGACGGAGTGTTTATAGTTATCGTGCCCAATCGCTACAAGCTTGGGTAGATTAATGTTGTAATGGCGCGCGTGGAAGTTTGTCATTGCGTATCAGTGCTTGCGGGGATTCAGCTCCAGCTATTGGGCTCCATCTTAATAGTTGTTGCTCGTCTCGTGAGAGAAGTCTTCTAATTTTCTTCTGCACTTTCATATGGAATTTTGTATGGAGTTACCTGGTTGATGGGGTTCTGGGAGTTCTTCTACTCCCCAAGCCCGGCCCGAGGCCAGGCTTGACTTGTGAGAGTTTGGTCCACCAGGCTGTTGCTTGGAGCGGCCCGCAGGGCCACATATCCTCCACAGCCCGGTAGATCCGGCACATCTTGCAAGAACTTATATAATTGCCTCTTGAATACATCCACCTTTGATGATGCTGCTGCTGATGATGGCTACTTGATGAGTCAAAACTGTCTCACCGTAAGTCACGTGATGTTTGTATTATAACTTCAATAGAATGACGTCATCTCCCTCCACTTAATCTAGACTTGATGATTTAATGAGTTGACTCGTCTAACATACATTCCTCTCCGCAGGTTGGATATGACAAGCCGCGCTGATAGCGGCTTGTACAGCGAAGACAGCGAACGAGACGATGACGTAAACACGCCGGACAGATCATCGGATCCCATCTCAGGTAATCTAATTACATCTTTCCCTCAACGTCCTATCCCAAATCCTTATCCTGATCCCTTCCAAGTGCTATATAGTCGTAATGGCTCGGCGCTTTCTCCTGATAGCCCCTTCCCTTCCCCTTTTCAGATGGGGTTGGTGTGTGTCGAGTGCCAGTTACCATACTTTATCACGGGGGGGAGATTTTCTTATATAATGGGGGTAAACAGATAAACAGATCAAACATAATGTAAACAAGCTTTGTGTACAACTTTCACGTACTTGGGGGTCTTTCTGGCAAGCTGTGTTTACCTGTCAGTGGCTGTGTACCTATTATTACCTACCTATTAATTAATTAATACCTATTAATACCTACCTATTACCGGTCAGTCAGTACCTGTGGCTGTGTACCTATCAGTGATGTACTACATGCCTCACAGATGGGTGTGTTCACTTATTCACCGAATTTAACTCGAATTTAAACGAATTTAACTTTAAATTATTATTTTTACCCCTGTAGTATTATCGTCAGCTTAAAGTGGGTCATATGACGTTCTTTCATTATTTCATATTTTCACCATTAATAACATAAGAATAAAGGAAACCGCAGGCCTATTGCCTCATAGGAGAGTTTTACAATGTTTTTATTATTTTTATTGTGCTTTGCTATTGTTATTTATATTTCGTTGCTAATTATCCACATGAATAACGTAATATTGTCACCGCCATCATCAATATGCGCTTATTTACATTTTCCTGGTCAACAGCTTCTGAAGACGACTTGTGGACGCCAAGACGGACAAGCAGAGATGACTCGAGCTGCTGCTCCAGCTTCAGGTCATCCTCAAGCACCTCACCCGACTCTGACGACGACCCAAGTAGAGATACGAGGTCACATCTCATGATCGTAGAAGAGGGTGGCTTGTCACAGTACAAAAGATCATCCATGTCTAAGGAAGACCCTCGATGGAGCGCAAGGTCGCAACCCATGATCGTAGAAGGTGACCGGTCGAAGTGGAAGTCTTCGTTTACCGGACCTGGTATATCCTCGACAGCTATTATCGAGGGGCTGGAGAGAGAGGTGCAGTGGGTCCAACGCAAGCTGGAGGAGGCTGAGAGAGAGTGTGATGAGGTGAGGCTATTACCGTTAACGGGATGACGTTGAGTGTGTAATGTAAGGCAATGGGTCCAACACAGACTGGAAGAGGCTGAAAGAGAGAGTGTGATGAAGTGAAGGTATTACCCCAATATTGAGAGAATTTGATGAGGGGAGATTATTACCTCTTATGAAAAAGACTGAAGAGCAGTGTCATGGGGTGAAACTGTCACTGTATATATGGCTGGAGGAGGCATGTGTGTGTGACGAGGTGAGACCGTCTTACTGACAGTCTCGACAGATCCGTTCTGACTGCTGATCATTAGATTTCCATGGTATGGATACATAACTTTAAAGAGGAATTTTTTTTTTAATTTGTTTATGGTTTCCATTCAATATCAGGAGAATGCCTTCGTTGATAGGAAAGTCCGTATTGTTTTTAGTTTTTGTATGCCCCCCGGTAAATTTGATTATAAATATTTTAACACATAGAGTGGGAAAACAAATAAACGTTTCTATACCTTGATTTATAATCACATGTCCTAATGCCAAGGAATGCTTTCAAAAGTTTCACTTGCAAAATATACCAAATATATATTTTTATTATATCAGAAGACTGATTTAAATGATTTGATTCTAACTTGCAATGTGTGAGTCTTAGATATACTGTATATAGAATGCAAATTTTGTTATTAGCATAACATTGTTTTAAAGTTACAAATTCTTCACAAATTGTCATGTTAGTCTCTGGTAATTTTGTCAAAACCAACATTCTTGAATTACTTAATTTACTATGATTTTTTTATTTAGGGTTGTATTATTAACCATATTTATTTTGAACCTTCTTCCACACCGAGGAAGTTTGAAATTCATTGTTTACACGAAATTCACATTTGTTGCCTGACCTCCCTCTCTCCCTCGTCCCCGTGAGTACACATCACAGGTATACATTTGTATGCTTATCTGTCTCTCTCCTCCCTCCACTTCAAACTCAAAAGACCACTACCAATCACTATTAGAACCGCAACACTAACTCTTACAAACAAAAGCCCTAATGCATCCACAAGCACCATTTCAAACACACTTTTCACCAGTAAAAACTACCACAACCACCACACTTTTCCTCAACAACAATTGCACCTTCACAACCTCCAGTCATGGGTCATTACACTAGCCTCTGGCTATTATTTACCTGAAGACCAGCATCTCTTGTGGCCTCGATGGGGACAGGAAATTGGTGGATTGTCAAAAAGTCCCCCCCATTATTTCTAAGGATTTTTTTTCTGCTCATTATACCAGGATTCATTACTCTAATCTGTGCTCATTACAATAGTCCTTATTCATTAAACTTCCTGAATGCATTATACTCCCTGTATTCATTATGGCTTCCAGTTAGTATCATGAGATATGCTGGCCTGCAGATAACTGGATAACTCTCCTCCTCTCCCCATGCTCTGTCCCTCCCCCATTATTCCTTCTCTCTCTCTATCACTCATTTTAAAAGTTCCGTACATGTCTAACTAATTATCGCTTTATATCTCTCTCTCTCTCTCTCTCTCTCTCTCTCTCTCTCTCTCTCTCTCTCTCTCTCTCAATCTTTCTCTCATTTCACATTTTATCTTAACATTTCTAAACACTCCTACAACATATTATCAACATCATCAAGGCAAATGGGAGGGGGAGAGCTGCGACCTTTGACAAGCCGCCGGCTTCCTGTCCTCGTCGAAGCCACTAGTGTTAGTGGCCATCAGGGGAAAAAATCAGGTAAATATTAAGTTGGCACACATTGCAGGTTGAAAGTAACGCATACGTGATGGAGATGGACGCCAGGTGGAGGTCGATTGAGGGGAAACTGATGCAGAATGTGCGAAGAGTGACGCCAGAGACGAGACCTAAACGCACTCGCTCTCCTCAACTTGACAAGTTGCAGCAGTTGCAACAAGCGTTGGTGCCCTTGCCCAACTCGGCGAGCCATGAACGGCTGGCTTAGGGTAGGTACTCGCCCAGTTGGGCTTGTGAGGGATTGAACTTTGGCTCTTTGGTCCTGTGTACTCACCTATTTGTACTCATCTATTTGTGTCTGCAGGATCGAGCAGTGACTCTTGGATCCCGCCTTTCGAGCCATCAGTTGTTAACAGCAATGACTCTGGTCCTATTTCCCTATCATACCTAGTTTCAAAATTATGAATAGAATTTGCTTCCACCACCTGCTCCTTTTTTATTTATTTTTTTAAATTTTGCCCCGAGGGGCGAGTTTATTGGGCAGCGCCACTCATCTTGTGAGTAGACATACCGCTATAGCAGCATGTACAACACTCCCCAATAGGAAGAAAACCCGCTGGGTTGTTCATCCTGTCATTTGTACCCAGACACAGCTGGGACTTGCTTAACTGACTCAAGCGAACAGCTCCTCAAACAAGAAGATTAACATCTGTCAACCCTTAAAAGCTTACGTTATCTTGCGGGTGCAAAATGGGGGAATCTATTAAGAACAGTATCAATATTTGACAAATAGTGTTTTCCTAACTCAAACAATGTGGGGTTTATTTTTCTACACATATTTCTAATGTCTCTCAGGTATTCACATTCACATAGATAGTGGTCAAGGCAGTGTCCGTCACTCTCACCACAGATTCTGCAACTTCGCTGATCAACTGTTGTCCCCATTCCATATCTCCATGGATATTTGTATCCAAGACGGATTCTCGCTATTACTGATTCTCTCCCGCATCCTCCTCCTCTTCGTCCATAATGACTGGGATCCTTAAGTGCATTCTATTTTTCCACTACTCTCATGCAAAAAGAAAACTTCCTAATATCTCTGTAACTCATCTGGGTTTCCAGCTTCTACCCATGTCCCCTCGTTCTGTTACTGTTCTGTGTGAACATTTCGTTTATGTCCACTCTGTCAATCCCCCCCGAGTATTTTATACGCTCCTATCATATCCCCCCCCTCTCCCTTCTTTTTTCTAGTGTCGTTCCTCAGTTCAGTTCTTCAGGCGCTCTTCATACCCCATGCCTCGTATTGCTGGGACGAGTCTCGTTGCAAACTTCTGAACCTTTTCCAGTTTCCTTATGTGTGTCTTCAGGTGGGGACTCATTGATGGGGCGGCATACTCTATGACTGGCCTCACGTAAGCAATGTAAAGCGCTCTAAATGCCTCCTTACTTAGTTTTCTGAATGATGTTCTAACTTTTGCCAGTGTAGAGTATGCTGCTGTCGATATCCTATTCATATGTGCCTCAGGAGTTAGATTAGATGTTACGTCCACACCCAGGTGTTTTTCTCACGTCGTCACAGGTAGGCAGTTCCCCTTCATTGTGTACTGTCCCTTTGGTCTATTACCTAGTCCCATTTTCATAACTTTACATTTGCTCATGTTGAAATCCAGTAACCATTTCTCTGAAATGGTTACTGGATAAATATATTAGAATTTATTAGTTACTTATAAATATATTAGAATAAATAGGCTAGTGCACACATATTCCTTGGAATGTTTTCCTAATTTGACCTGGAATCTTAAAGGCAAAATTGTAATATACTTTATTCATCACATTTATAACTACTGTATATACCACAAATGTGCAATATTTAAACCAAGATATTTAAAGAGAAGTACACCACAGTATATGAAAGCATATTTACTATTCAGAGTAATATGGCTACTTGAATAATATAGTATACAAATCTTCCAGCAGGTTCCTGTCCTCCTGTTAATGAGCTCTAGATGGACTACAGCTGTTACCCCAGAGAGAGATAGAAGAAATGACAAATCTCTTAGACCTTGAAGACTTTGAGACCTAGAAGACCTAGGAGTCTTGGGAAAGCTGGCAGACACAGTACAGCTGAGGTTTTGTGAGATCTGGATGACCTCCAAATATCTGATAAGCTCCTTGGACCAGGAAAAACAAACTGAGTCTGGAGAAATAACAAGTCTGTGAAACTTAAAGAACTGCATTAAAAGAACAGAGCTGATAGCTCTGGTGTGTCAAATAGTCCTGTGAGGTCGTCCATGGCTGATGGACTGGTTGAGTACCTGATGAAATTGTGTATCTTTATATATATATATATATATGGTTGAATATCTAATAAAACTGTTTACACATGTGTGTGTGTGGTTGAGTTCCTGATAGTGTGTACTTCTGCAAATGATTGCATACCTGATGGTGTGTACTTCTGTAAATGGTTGTGTACTCTGTGAAAATGTGTACATCTGTGAGTGATTGGGTAGGCTACCTGACGAAACTCTGTACATATGTAAAAGTTTGGAGGAAAATGTTTAGATATTTCAGCTGTGTAATTTATGTGGACACTTCCCAAGTACACAAGAGTACTGTGTATACATTTTAATGATATGGCATGGAATCTCTGTTTTAAAGTTCTAAAAATGTATCTAAATGGAGATTGATTACAGTATGGTAACAGGAGCATGTACTTAAGAATAAAACCAACACATCTGAATTCAAATTAAATATTAAAACTACTGTACAGAAATTAAGCTAATAATGTGATTCTGCTCTTGTACATGACCACTGAATTTCCATTGACTGCAGATGATTCCAGGGTAACTTTTTCATGATAAATTCATAATATTTACTCTCAAGAATGTTTTCAGCATTAAATCCTATTTATATAAATATTCTCAATGTTAACCACAAATCCAAATAATAATCCCAACATAAATAAACGTTAGTGTACAATATATGTTAAATTATCTTACACTCAAGATGTTCAGTTGCTTACTTTTTGGTATGATAAAGAGAGTGTTAATTGGTCATTTACACAAAATATTTCTTGTTAAACATACGTAGAGTAACTAAACAAATATTTTGGAATATTTTGTTATTTTCTCTGATTGAATAACTTATTTTCTGTTCAATATCTGTGTGATATTGTTCAAGAATATCAATAATGTACTTTAGAATCTATATCATTTTTGTGTGATATACAAATTCTTAATGCTACAAGCTATGTGTATGATCGGATGGCTTCTATACAAATTCGATCTTCCTCCTACAATTGATTAAGCTTTGCTTTTTGTATGAATCATTCTATTTTTTTAATATGTGTACATTCCAACTGCTATAAAGATACAACAATGCTAATGGCTACATTGATGTAAAAATGGACTCATACACTGTACGATAGATACCTGCTTGATACCTGCAATATGGGGTACTGGGAGTTCTACTCCCCAAGCCTGGCCCGAGGCCAGGCTTGACTTGGGAGACCAAGCTTGACTTGGTAGACATGTGTGTCTCAAAGTCTTAATCACATGAATGATTGGTCTTAATTCTTCCTATGCCTGTGATCTGCTATTGCATTTGTTATTTTGCATATTTTACTACAAATAATGTGTTTTATTAGTGCAAATGATACATCATGCATTTCTCATAATTTTGCCACAAATCACTTTGAAAAGTTTCAATCTCAACATACAAAATACTTTGTTTTTAATTTGTTCAAGTTTATCAACACTTCAAATAGTCTAGCAGTAATTTCTCATTTATCCATATGTCTTATGTTTGTTCTGATGCAATTGAAAACAGAAAACTTTTTGTATTCAATTTTCAATTATATCTTGTTCCATTGAATTGGGAATCCACTATGCTGGATTATTATCCTGTTATGAAATAAATTAAATGGAGCTTGATTACTTGTATATTTGTATATTAATATATATTTATATGTGTATAATATTGATTTTTGGCTTTAGCTAAGTACAGAATATATTTTCCTACAGAGTATATATCTTTATTATGTGATGACTTATTGTAGTCTTGCATTAAGAATCACCTGTCAGTATATGCCAACACTGGGAAGTGTTCGACACACTATATTACCCAGTAAGGGCAAACTCCTCTCAATGTACTCATGCCAAAACTATCAGCAGTGCAGATGATGAGTCACAATAACGTGGCTGAATACACGTTTCTCCATCATATACGTGATGGAGATGATGATGGAGAAACGACAACATTTCGGTCCGTCCTGGACCATTATCAAGTCACATGATTTGATAATGGTCCAGGACGAACCGTAACGTCGTCGTTTCTCCATCTTCTAATGTGTGTGGTTTGGTCATCGAATCAGCAGTCTTAAAGCGTCATATGACAAAACTGTAGGTATGACTGGACACCATTAATGTTGCTCTCATTCTGTAACTGTATTTGGGTAATTACATTTAGATTATTTCACCAGTAAAAGAAATCTTTCCAAGTACAGTACTTCATGCTAGTAAGTACTGTACAGTACATGCATTTTCAGTTAGTACAAATATCAGCAAGAATGACTGCATCTGCACTTTACATACCATTGATGTTACTCTACAGAATCTGTACATATTTTCAGCTCATTTACGATTATGAATTGTAAAAGGATAATCCTCTAATGCAAATAACTGCCAAATATTATTAATAAACTTTTGGACTAAGGAACTTTATTACACAAAATTATCATTACAGTGCTTGATTCATCTGTTAAGTTTACATAAGCAAAAGCTAATTTTCTTCATAGGAAACAAGGCGAGGCTTTTCACTCGAAGTAATTTTTTGTTGGTTTTATCTTCCTTCAAACTCACATTTACCATGCTGTGCTAGTCTCACATGTTACTTGCAAAATGTAAAATAAAATAATCTTTATTAACCATCAATATTATTCCATACCTTAAACGATACTTGTAGTAAAATTAATAGAATGTGTTATGTCTTGCATGATGTTTGCACAAGTTAAAGTGATATATTGGACATATTGAAATTGACTATCACCAATTTAAAACTGCAGAAAAGGTCAAATGTTATACAACAATCGTGTGTTGGGATTGCAACAGGACTATGGGAAATGATTTTCTAATAGAAAAATACTCTACATTTTAATAACATTAAAGTTAATATACATGTACCTAACATCTTACTTTATCCATATTAATTAAATTGTGGCTATCCATTGTCTTGTATTTGGGAACAATTTTGTGTATACATGTAAATAAGCAAGCTATCTATATGTCATTTATAATTTACCTGAGGGGCTACTATCTCTCTAGTGGCCTCGACGAAGACAGGAAGCAGGCAGCTTGTCAAAGGTCCCCCATTTGTCTTGATTATTTTATCTATTTGGATCTTAAATTGTAGCAGGGTTTTGGCAGTTACAGCTTCGGCGTGAAGCCAGTTCCATGGGTTTATAACCCTTGGGGTGAAAAAGCATCTCGTGTTTTCTGTCCTACACTGTGGCTTGTTAAGTTTGAATCCGTTGCTCTTGTTCATGTCACATCTGACCTTTTGAAGAAGTGGATTAATATCCTTCAACTTGTTCAATATTTTAAAGGTATCGATGAGATCAGTCCTGTCATGTCTGATTTGTAGTGTTGTTAATCATGCAGTCCTCAACCATTTCTGGTATGAGACTGACTTTGTTCTAGAATGATTTTTGTTGCCTGGTGTTGGACTTTCTCCAAAGCAGGAATATCTTTCTGAAGATGAGTCCTCTATGCTTAGATATAATAATCCAAGTGGGGGCACACAAGAGATTTATATAATTAATTACCTTCTTTTCCCTGAAAATAAAAATTATGTCTGACTATTCCTAGGATTTGGTTGACTTCTTCTCTGCAGCTCCCATTTATGAATCTTTTCAGTAATTTATGGATTCTAACTCCAAGTCCTTGTCTCATTCACTCTGCTGTAAGGTAATGGTGTTTATTTGGCAGTTGTGGTGTGCATTGTTATGCCCCACATGCAAGGTCTTGCATTTTCAATATTAAAGAGGTATCGGGCAGTCTTCTGACCATTTATGGAGTTCATATAGATCTCTTTATAAGGCCTGAATATAATTTTCATTACCTACATTTCCATAAATCTTAAGTGTCATCTGCAAATTTGATGATGTATGTAATATTCTCATCAATGTCATTGTCGAATATTACAAAATGGAACCTTGCAACAGCCTTACTTTGCCACATTTCTTCAGTCAGATTCATTTCTATTTAGGATGACCCTTTGCTTTCTTAGTTTTACCCATTGTTTTATCCACTCAAGTACTCTACCATTTACTCTATGTGCTTTTACCATACTTCCTTGCATTGTATGAATATAAATTCAAAATCTGAATAAATACTAAGAAGAAAATGTGGTGGCACTCTTAAATTCTGTAATACTAATAATATGTAAGACAACCCACACATCTAAAAATAAAGTGTCAACATTTTGTTCAATCCTGGTTCAATCCTTTTGTTCAATTATGTCAAGATGTGATAATGATCCAGGATGGACCAGAACGTCATCACTTTCTTTGTTTTCTGATGGGTGGGTTGGGTGTCTAATTTTAGGCAATATTATTGTGGCTTATTGAGTAACAATATGTATTACACATCCTTTTTACCCGAATTTACCTGAGGGCCAATATCTTCCTAGTGGCCTCAATGAGGACAAGAAACCAGTGGCTTGTCAATCGTCCTCCACTTGTCATACTGATTTTATTGAGCTGAACTTTAAAATTCAGCAGTGTTTTGGCATTTATGACTTCGTTGGTTAGGCAGTTATATAAATAACAGGTAATATAATTTATGTTTGCTGATGACCCACCCAACGTTAATTTTTTCAAAAGCTAACCCAGTTATTCTGACAGTAAATATGGGACTAAAAAAAAAGTTCACAAGTGGCTACCTACTAACAAACTCACCCTCAACATTGAAAAAACGTATTGTAGAACACATTATTTGTAAATAAGTCGCACAATTCAATAGAACTAAGACTAAACAATACTCAAATTGAGAGCAGTGCTGAAGGGGAAGGTCTTTGTGCTCACATCAACAACAAATTGAACTTAATTAAATTACCATAAACAAAATACAGTATAATAGGAAGAGTATCTAAAACTGCAGGCATACTCTCTGTAATGCAATACATCTACTTTGCTCAGCCTGATTACACAATAGAGTACTGTACAGTATTATTCACTTGTCTATACTCATATGTCAGAGAATTTGTGCCTGGGGGGCTACAACTCAAAACTATTTCACATAATTACTCACCATAAATAATTTTATGCATCAATGACATATACGAGACTATTACGAATCTCATCACTAATTTTGCAAATGGCACTAAGATCCATGGTAAAGTAGGAAGCAAAAATGATATTGAGGAGAGAGATTTATAAAGAGATTATAAAGAGATTATATCTCTTATAAAGAGAATTACACAAACTCCACAAATATTCAGAAGACTGGCAAATGTTTTTTATTATTGATAAAATATTAAACCCTGCATGTAGGGCATAAAAGTGTACATCACTATTATCATAACAGAAACACTACTATGCAGCAGACTGATGAAGAAAAAACCCCAATAGTTAAGCTCCACCAGTCATTGAAAATTGAACATTAACTGAGAGCTGCAGTTAAAGAAAGCAACCAAACCTTAGGAATAGTCAAATGAACCTTTGACTTTAAGGAAAATAAAGTGGGTATTCAAGTGAATAAATCTCTCCTGCGGCCCTGTTTGGAGTATTGTATACAAGCTTGAGACTTTCAGCGCCGTGGAGAGGGGGGGACCTGCTGCCTGGGTAACAGCTTCTCCCCCATATCAACCTACCCTGGCTTTGCGCCCTGGTGAGGCCACTCCAGACCGACAACCAGAGCGCAACTCCATAGTCTCCTGAGACTGATGGATGCCTACTAGTACTACTACTACTATACAAGCATGGAAACCTCATCTTCAGAAGCATATATCTGCTTCGGAGAAAGTTAAACACCAAGCCACAAAAATCATTCCAAAACAAACCTTAGTCAAAACTAAGAAATGTCGTCGTCTCTTCACTTTATAGTGTGTGGTTTGGTCAACATTTTTCAGTCACGTTATTGTGACTCCTCATCTGCACTAAGTCAACTTTCTTACCAGGAATGGTCGAGGGTCACACGACTAACAAAACTGCACACCAGACATGGCAGGGGCTGATCTCATTGAGACCTTTAAAATAAACAAATTGGAGGATATTAAGCCAGACCATGTAATGCATAGAGGGGTAACAGGTTCAAGTTCAACAAGCTACAATGTAGGACAGAGAACAGTTAGTTTAGGCAATTTACTAAACACTCCACATCCATCTAGTGGGTGGCAGTGGAAAAGGTTACACCGACACATAATGGACTCAGGAGCTGAACCTCAAAATTCCTTTAGCAAGGCAAGTTACAGTCTTGATAAACTAGTTACACAGTTTAATGTATATATTATTATATCACCGATGGGTTTAAGAATGACCATAAGTGTAGTCTATAGGATAATACATACGAAGGGTCAAAGACTTTATGCTCAACAAGCCACAATGAAGGACAGCAAACAAAAGATGCTTTTTCATCCATAGGGTTATAAACGCTTTGAACAGCCTACTCCCCAAAGCCGTAAATACCAAGATATTACTCCATTTCAAAATGTAGTGGGAAAAATATTCAGGAACAATGAGGGGAACCTTTGACAAATCGTAGACTTCACAGTTCCTATCGAGGCCACTAGTGAGATAGTGGCTTTCAGATTTTTACCCTCAGGTAAAAAAAGAACATCAGCAATTTTTTTTTTTGAGATATATACAAGAGTTGTTACATTCTTGAAGAGCCACTAGTACGCGTAGCGTTTCGGGCAGGTCCCTGGAATACGATCCCCGCCGCGAAGAATCGTTTTTACAACCAAGTACACATTTTACTGTTGAGTTAAACAGAGGCTACAGTTAAGGATTTGCGCCCAGTAAATCCTCCCCGGCCAGGATACGAACCCATGACAAAGCGCTCGCGGAACGCCAGGCGAGTGTCTTACCACTGCATCACGAAGACTAAACTAAATCCCATCACCAGACAGCAAGTAGCATCCATACTTAAATCCTTGAAAATTCTAAAAAAATATAAAGCTACTCCACACACTCAACTACACTCTATATCTATAAAACTGTGGAGTACAATAGTGAACCCTGATTTCGAGCGCTTTTTATGCCTCAGCATTTCAAGAAATTAGGGATGGTAGAAGAGCAGTCACTGACCCTCAAACAGCAGAAAGCCCAAGTATAAAGAGTTATGACATGTTTAGATCCGAGAACTATATGTTCGGGCAGCACAAATCATTCACTAGACAGTGTGACATTGTAATTGCAAGAATTAAGCTGGAATATCAATATCTATGGCAGGTGGCAACAGGTAATGACTCTCCCAATGGTGAACATTCCAATTATAAACTATGTGAAGAAGAGCTGGGACATACGAGCATGTCCAACGCTGTATGCGTGACTGCCTTATAATTAACGATTTCAGACCAAATGGTATGAGGTACTTTGAGTTCTGTAACTACTTCATACATTCTTCATACACTCACGAATATTGGAAGATATTCTTGTGCTGTACCCAGACTTTAAAACCATTAAAACCCTCAACCGTTCCAAAATTCTTGTGGATTTGTTCATTTGATGCATCACGCTATTGTGATTTCTGTGTGTAGTGTAGTAACACATTGCTAGGTATACTTAAGCTTGTTAATACAAAAATAAATCAACTCTTCACAAGACAAAAGCTCGAATTCTCAAAACAGGGAAGGAATTGTTATGAATTTGTCAAATTCGTATGTTGCAGCCATATAAAATCTAGCAATGTAGTATCGTAGCGTTTAGTTTAGTTCATTTATTATGCACCCCATACCCATCCTGTGGGCGGTAGTGGAAAGGGTTACAGAGGCACATAATGGGCTCAGGGACTGAACCCCACAATTCATTTAGCTAAGCAAGTTACAATCTTGATGAGCTAGTTACAAAATTCAATATAAGTCATCACATCAACAATGGGTTCGAGATCGACCTCAAGTACAGGTTCTAAATTAAGCAACTGACATATGTGGAGAGCTAGTGTCAAAATTTATATGTTTGTCCTGCACACCGCCCCCCATCCAGTGGGCAGCGGTGGATAGGTTACAATCACTTAGTTACTACCTACAGTTAGCAAACTGGGGATATTTGGCTAAAATTTCTGGTAGCAGATCATTTTGAATGAAATATTGACACATCGCTGGAACATTGGTTATAGAATTGTCTCTAAATTCACGTATCTTTTCGCACTCCATCACATAGTGACGGAGGGTGTGCGAATAATTTTGTTGACTTATATATTTCTATAAAAGCGAGGAGCATTGCCGTTTTAGTTTAGGGTCACCTAATAACGTTTTCTAACATAATCAGAGAACACGCAGTAGATATATATAAATATTAGGGGTTAACTCATTCAATTTATTTCTTTATAAATTTATATACAAGATGGTACATTGGGGTTTAACAGAGAACATAGAAATTAAGTTGATTTTACATTTTTGTAAAGCCACTAGCACGCATAGCGTTTCGGGCAAGAAACGCTTGTGCAACTTTCAGTGAATGGTGGATTTTGATTCCGACGTCCTTTTATCCATAGGTTATTATTTATCCATAGGTTCCATTATTATTCACCTGTGAGTGAACATGTATGTCTTGATGGTTGTCATACATAATCGTGCCGTGTTGAGCTGGACGCGGCTGTTGCCCACTGCATAGTTATAGTGGATCTTTTCAAGAAGTGGCTCGGATTAATGTTTTCCAATTATGTTGAGCATTTGAAATTGTCTCGAGATCAGCTCTCAACCTTTTCTGGTATGAGAGTTGACTTGGTTCTAGGATTAATTATTTACCTGCTGGGCTTTACCATTTAGTTGCCGATCGTCTATAGCAATGGCTCCTGATCCTGTTATTTTTTTTGTCATACCTATACATCCCTTTTTAATGCTTTCCACTTGTTCCCCAATCGTACGATGAATAAGAGAGAATAGGCGAGTACAATAAGCACCAGAATTAGCCACAGATATATACACAATGTTGTGTTCAATGTCAGAGTAGTGAACAAATCAAACTCACTAAGTGAAGTAGATGAGGAAGACTTCACACAGCTCCATATGTAGATATGACAGAGTTTATTAAGCCTGAGAACCTACTCACCAGTTGACTGAAAGTCGAGAAGCGGGACCAAGGATTTGAAGCTCATCCTTCTGTAAGCACAACTAGATGAGTACACTCATCCCCCTAACCCCGTGTGAGCCAGGCGGAACCAAAGAGCCGAAGCTCAACCCCCGGCAAACACAACTAGGTGAGCACCTACCTGCTGGCTATGGTAGGTTGGTCACTGTGACCGGGGGTTCGATTCCTGCTCCACCAACACTAAAACCACACTGCGGTTCACTCTCAATTAAACGTGATGAGTTAACGGAGATCGTACGACTCATCCTTAATGACACCTGACTCATCCTTTTGACTCATCCTTAATGACACCTGATGGGCCATGTCGATCATCAAGAACATGTGTGTGACATAATATCACCTAATTATTAATTTAATAATAATAATTCATTGTGTCGCGGGGACAGACAGCCAGAGTGAAATTCATACGTTAGGCTTATATCGAACTCCCTTCCCCCCACAAGGTCGAATTACTGACAACCCCACAACAAGCTGACTAGCTCCTGAGTACCTACTTACTGCTAGGTGAACAGAAGCATTAGGTGATAGGATATCCCACCCCAACCATTTCTGTCCCACCCGGGATTCGGACCTGGAATTTTCGATTGTGAGTCGAGAACGAATCCGACTGTACTAACGGGACCCTCAATTGAGCTAATTAATCGGCACAATGTTATAGGCAATAGAAAAAGGAAGTGCATGGGGGAAGTGCATGGGGGAAGTGCATGGGGGAAGTGCATGGGGGAAGTGCATGGGGGAAGTGCATGGGGGAAGTGCAGGGGGGAAGTGCATGGGGGAAGTGCATGGGGGAAGTGCATGGGGGAAGTGCATGGGGGAAGTGCATGGGGGAAGTGCATGGGGGAAGTGCATGGGGGAAGTGCATGGGGGAAGTGCATGGGGGAAGTGCATTTGGGCAGTGCATGGGGGAAGTGCATGGGGGAAGTGCATGGGGGAAGTGCATTTGGGCAGTGCATGGGGGAAGTGCATGGGGGAAGTGCATGGGGGAAGTGCATGGGTGAAGTGCATGGGGGAAGTGCATGGGGGAAGTGCATGGGTGAAGTGCATGGGGGAAGTGCATGGGGGAAGTGCATGGGGGAAGTGCATGGGTGAAGTGCATGGGGGAAGTGCATGGGGGAAGTGCATGGGGGAAGTGCATGGGGGAAGTGCATTTGGGCAGTGCATGTGGGAAGTGCATGGGGGAAGTGCATGGGTGAAGTGCATGGGGGAAGTGCATGGGGGAAGTGCATGGGGGAAGTGCATGGGTGAAGTGCATGGGGGAAGTGCATGGGGGAAGTGCATGGGGGAAGTGCATGGGTGAAGTGCATGGGGGAAGTGCATGGGGGAAGTGCATGGGGGAAGTGCATGGGGGAAGTGCATGGGGGAAGTGCATGGGGGAAGTGCATGGGTGAAGTGCATGGGGGAAGTGCATGGGGGAAGTGCATGGGGGAAGTGCATGGGTGAAGTGCATGGGGGAAGTGCAGGGGGAAGTGCATGGGGGAAGTGCATGGGGGAAGTGCATGGGGGAAGTGCATGGGGGAAGTGCATGGGGGAAGTGCACGGGGGAAGTGCATGGGGGAAGTGCATGGGGGAAGTGCATGGGGGAAGTGCATGGGGGAAGTGCATGGGGGAAGTGCATGGGGGAAGTGCATGGAACTGATCAAAATATGACGGAGAAGAGCGGCCCTTAGTAAAACGTTGTGTGAATTGTATCTTAGTCTACTTCTTTCAAGATGTGTGTGTGTGAATGTGACGTGTACGAGTATACTTACGGGGGTTGGTATATATCAGGGGCCTGTATGTCAACTGGTATACAGGCCCCTGAACCTATTGGGCTTTATCTTATCTACATATTAAACTGTGTATAGAGTCTGCCTCCACCACTGCACTGCCTAGTGCATTCCATTTGTTAACTACTCTGACACTGAATAATTCTTTCTGATGTCTCTGTGGTTTATTTGGGAACTCAGTTTCCACCTGTGTCCCCTTGTGCGTGTACCACCCGTGTTAATACATCTGTCTGTATTTATTTTGCAAAATTGCTATGAAAATTCCTCTAGCATTTCCTCGCAACTCGTATCTCGTAGCCTGGGACTTGTCTGGTGGTATACCGTTCAACCTTTTTCCATTTCGTCTTATGCTTGACTAGATATGGACTCCCTGGATCCGCATACTCCAGGATTGGTTTTCGTATTTGCGATATACAAGGTCCTGTATGATTCCTTATGCAAATTCCTAAAGTCTGTTGTTAATTTAGCCAACCTCACATATGCTGGTAATTATATCCTTTTGATGTGAACTTCAGGAAACAAACCCTTCTCTCTGTCCGTTATTTGAAGGATTTCATCTTCCATTTGATACCTTGTGACCGGCCTCCTGCTCCCTACACTTAGTTTCATTACTTTACATTTACTCGACTTAAATTCTAGTAGCCATTTGTTGAACTATTTTTTTCAAATTGTCTAGGTCATCTTGTTGCCTCTTGCTGTCTTTCTCCGTCCTCATCCTCCTTATAATTTTCTGAATCAAGTTACACTTTGAAAAAAAAAGATGTTATATTTACCTATGTTCATTTCGACGTCGAAATGGCTGCTGAACGATGTCCTTGAATTTTGTTTCGGCTGACCCATAAAGTCCATCTTTATGGACTTTATATAAGAATTTCGTCCATCCATAAAGACCCGAAGCTTCCCTCTTGTGGTAGAAACTTTACATCCTCTTACGTTCCTACAGGCTGCCTCATCCTGCCTCTGATCGCTTCAGGAAGCCGAGGTCTGCAAGTCAGCCTTTGTGGTCACATTTGCCACTTACGTATCACCTGTGTACTTCTGTATATTCGACCAAATATATATATAGTATCTTAGTGTCTGTGTTTATTTGTCACCATACTTTACGTAACAATAGAACCGTTACATCCCTGTACGACTAAATATCCTACGAGATGTTTGGGATTTTAGTATCACACAGCTAGTTCTTGACACAAACTATATAGCCCCCTTGACATATTTTATGGTAGCTACACAAATAGCAATGTACCCAAATATGTAACTAAGAAAAAAGCAGGGAAGTGTCCTCCTCGAGTCAGTAGTTACCCCTTTGAAAGCGGACGTCACGTTTTCTCACGGTCCGCAGACCTGCTGGGCGCGCAACGGAACACACAAGGGCCATCAGTCAGCCAGCACGCACGCGCAGTCTTACACCAACCTCTTACAGAGGCACGTCTACCTCTTTACCGGCTCTACACACCTGCCTACCTCTCCCCTCCATACGTGCTACACACCTGCCTATCTCTCCCCTCCATACGTGCTACACACCTGCCTATCTCCATACAAAACTGCGCCTCCCTCAGAGGCGCAGTAACAGAACAATTGTGTTATCGCTATTTACCAGAAAATAATAGAAAGGAATCTGTCGATTTTCATAGCACTCAGACGATCTTAAGTGACAATTAAAATTGTATACAATCATTCCGACTCCCCCATACACCAGCCTTCATCATCCTCGCCAGTGTTCTCAACGTCAAGAAACTGGCGTACTAAAGTGCCCCCTTATCCTAACCTACCAGAGGAACCCACCAACAGAAAACGTGACTCTACGCCAATTTCGCGACCTGCTACCAATTTCCAGCATGCCAGGTGTTGGCCCTAGGTAGACTATACGTCAAAATGCGACGTGCTAATGGGAGGACGGGCTGCATGATCATCGCTTCAACGGTGCTGCTTCTGGCTCTAACAGGTAAGCAATTAGGTATAATTTTGTTAATTTTCTCACAGGAAGGTACGATTATATAAATACTATATCAATTTTATATTTTTTATAAATATATTAAATAATATATTTATTATAACCACCGCAACCAGAGGTGGTACCCCTTAAATAATATATATATATATATATATATATATATATATATATATATATATATATATATATATATATATATATATATATATATATATATATATATATATATATTCTAGTATGTCCAGGACGGAAGCCGAGGTGACCACAACCTCTTAACGGGTGTGTATCACGACGAACTCTTGTAACGGTACTGTATTGTATTGTAGTGTAGCTTGATGTATTGTAGTGTATGGTAGAGTGTTGTAGGGAATTGTAGGATGTTGTTGGATGCTGTAGCGTGTTGTAGAGAGTTGTAGGCTGCTACAGGGGTGTTAAAAAGAGTGGTTTTTAATGTAGTGTAATTTTGCATAGTGGCGAAAATTGTGGCAGGGAGTGTGTCAATATAGACCAAAGAGCGAGGTATACTTCTTGGAGTTTATATATATCCTTGAAATGCCTCCAAGCTGATTCCTTTTAATATATGCCTTGCTAGTGATGAATTGCAACTATTGTTAAATGATGGCAATTCGAATCTTAATGCCTCTATAACCCTTGGACGATTACATATTCCCAATGACTGGTGGCATCAATGATATTGATGCCTTACCTTGAGGTTACCTTGAGGTGCTTCCGGGGCTTAGCGTCCCCGCGGCCCGGTCGTCGACCAGGCCTCCTGGTTGCTGGACTGATCAACCAGGCTGGTAGACGCGGCTGCTCGCAGCCTGACGTATGAGTCACATGATGCCTCATTATGTGACCTTGAGTGAAATGATGCCATGGCATTGATGTTTCAATAGAGAAATAGATACCATGTCATTGATTCCCCTTTACTGAAGCACCCATTATAAACACCCCATAATTGATGTGTTAGAAAAAAATGCAATTAAAAACAAGTTTATCAACACAATTTGCCAGGAACGTTCCTGTCCGCAGTCAATTTAAACATATCAGGAGCGAGACTCCTCGAACCCAAACCCACAATTTGCCACAATCGTGCCAACTGGTTCTACTCTCACTAAGCTTAGCTGGGTGACTGTAGCGTGATTCTCTGACACACTTTGCCTCTTGTCACGTTTGAGTCGGATATGCTTAAACTAACCACAGAGGGAGAGAGAGAGAGAGAGAGAGAGAGAGAGAGAGAGAGAGAGAGAGAGAGAGAGAGAGAGAGAGAGAGAGAGAGAGAGAGAGAGAGAGAGAGAGAGAGAGACTAGCTTCAACAACCTTAAACAGCACGTAATGCTCTCGCGTTGCGTGCGCGCGGGCACACACACACACACACACACACACACACACACACACACACACACACACACACACACACACACACACACACACACACACACACACATTATACATATATATACAACAGAGCGTCAACTGTTACCGTGATTTAGCGGAACGTCACCTAGACGTAGTTAGGCGTCATCGTGACGTAGCGACCATCAATTGTAACGTAACGAGGCGTCAGCTGTAACGTAACGAGACGTCAGCTGTTCCTTGTAACTCCTGTAACACTCCGCCAGATGGCTCTCTCTGTCCGTTACAGCCACTCAATGTTCATTTTGAAATTATTTTAAATTTCTACGTCAGTTTCGAAACGTTAATACATATTATTTTATTGTATGTGCTAGCTCTATCTATAAATCCAACATTATGTTTGTAAATCAACTATGTATGTAGAAATGTATTTGTATGTACAAATAAGGTGGCATTTGGGTCCAGCTGAGGTTTGGACGGATAATGAGTAATTTGCATGGAGTAAGATAACATGTAGAGAATATTGGGAATTTCCCCAAAGTTCTTTTGTTATCTTCGTCATCCTCCTCCTCCTCCTCCCTACCTAGAGAACATCAGAGTTCTCCGTCACCTTCCCCTCACAGAACACTTGAACACCCTCGAGGCTCTCCCCCTCCCTGTCTTAGCTCGTTCTCCTGTCGTTCTGTCAACTTTCTAAGTTCTTGAAACTGTTTTAAATACTGTGAGTAAGAGCATCTCTCTCTCTCTCTCTCTCTCTCTCTCTCTCTCTCTCTCTCTCTCTCTCTCTCTCTCTCTCTCTCTCTCTCTCTCTCTCACACACATACACACACACATACAAATGAATTTGCATGATATTTTTAATATCTGAGGATGTAAACAAAAATGATAAACATCTGCCCCCCCATTAATGGTGATTTCACCACCATTACCATCACCATACCACCATCACCACAACCACACCATCACCACCACCTCATCCCCAACACCACCACCACCCACCACCACCAGCATATATATTTTAAAATATTCAAATACGAGAACATTGTGTCGAAAACCAATATGCACATGTCAGTCACTCTGTGGCCGAGTGACTGTCACCTGTCATCCACGTGACTCTTGCTGCTGCTGCTTCACTCACTCGCACTCTCAACATAATCTCATTCTCACCTAACGAATCCTTGGTACTCGGAATACTACCCTCTGACCTAGGTACCAAGGAGGCCAGATTCACGAAAGCATTTACGCAAGAACTTACGAACGTGTACATCTTTCCTCAATCTTTGACGGCTTTGGTTACATTTATTAAACAGTTTACAAGCATGAAAACTTCCCAATCAACTGTTGTTATTGTTATAAACAGCCTCCTGGTGCTTCGGAGCTCATTAACTGTTTAATAATTGTAAACAAAGCCGCCAAAGATTGAGAAAAGATGTACAGGTTCGTAAGTGCTTGCGTAAGTGTTTTCATGAATCTGGCAACAGGAGACTACCTTTCTATTCGCTGCGTATTTGATTACTACCGACCCTTACCCCCCCCTCCCCTTAGATACCAACACTAATAGTAGCCAAACTACCAGTAGCCACACCACCAGTAGCCACACCACCAGTACCCACACCATCAGTACCCACACCACCAGTACCCACACCACCAGTACCCGCACCACCAGTACCTGCACCACCAGTACCCACACCACCAGTACCCGCACCACCAGTACCCACACCACCAGTACCCGCACCACCAGTACCCGCACCACCAGTACTCACACCACCAGTACCCACACCACCAGTACCCGCACCACCAGTACCCGCACCACCAGTACTCACACCACCAGTACCCACACCACCAGTACCCGCACCACCAGTACCCGCACCACCAGTACCCACACCACCAGTACCCACACCACCAGTACCCACACCACCAGTACCCACACCACCAGTACCCACACTACCACTCTTGTTTTCAGTAGCTTTATCAATCGAACTAATCCCGTTTCTGACAGGCACAGACTTATGATGCGCCAAACCTGAATATCTCTGGTTGTTCTTCCCGGTAGCTGTGACGACGTCGAGGGAAGAAGAGGTTCAAGAACAGCCTCACAGGGGTTCGATGGCCGGCCAGGACGGCCATCACCAGGTCCTCCTGGGCTTACATGGCGACCACCTTTCAAAGGTCAAGCCAAAGCTGGCACTCGACCCCACACCCGAAGACGATTATGAACCAAATGTCAGTCAACGGTGGATGGTGGAGCCAAGCTTGGGATCCTCAAGGTTGGACGATGTTGCTGTCGCCCGGGGGACAAAGACAGACCATGAGTACGACCCTCCGGCCGAAGAGGCCAAGACTGAGGCTGAGGGTGTCGAGGACGAGCGTGTCGAGGACGAGCGTGTCGAGGACGAGCGAGTCGAGGACCAAGATGATTCCGTAATTAACGACGAGGAGTTTTCAAAGAATCTTGATGAACTCGGTTGCCACATCAAGAATTTCCTTCATCGGTAAGGACAGAGAAAAGCATTAATTGAAACATTATTCACTGCGTTCATTCACTGAACCACATTCAATAGGCATGTTTTGGCCTTGTTTATATGCTTGCTTTAACGCTAGTGACCAGAAGGGTCGTCGTCTTATAAAATTCCAATTTTGCTTTCTCAATAATTTGCTCACAATTTCAGAATGACATTTAAACAATAATATTGCATTTCCCAAAAGTCCATTAACAGTATGACCAATGCACCTGGTCAACGCTACTTCACCACATCCCCACCCAATCTTTAACTTCTCTTACGTTCACTATATCTTCGATAGTGAGTTATGAGTTCTTACTGCACTTGTAGCATGAACTTACAGTGAGTGGGGTCTCTTTCATCCATTCCGTACAGTGACTGTTCATTCAACCACCAGTCTCACAACAACTGTCTCTCCACACTCTCCACAACTGTCTCTCCACACTCACCACAACTGTCTCTCCACACTCACCACAAGTGTCTCACCACATTCACCACAACTGTCTCTCCACACTCACCACAACTGTCTCTCCACATTCACCACAACTGTCTCTCCACACTCACCACAACTGTCTCTCCACACTCACCACACTCACCACCCCCGTACACGACCACTAACATGCCCACTACCCGTATCTTATCTCCGTTACAGCCACTATGGCCGCAACAGTTAATTACTGTTGTTGATCATTTTACAACTAATAATAACGTAAATTATTTGAGATATATCCTGCAGTTATTCTGTCATTACCGGCCACATGGAGAGCTTGCACCATCATCTCAGACAAAAATGAAAAAATTAGATCAGTATAGTTAGGCCCTTTCAACCATATACGATATTGTTTACACAAACGAGACGCAAAGAGTTAAGTCTATTCTAGTTTGTCTACCATCATGACGGGATGCCGGCTCTCTCTCTCACTCTGCTCGAGAGAGAGAGAGAGAGAGAGGAGAGAGAGAGAGAGAGAGAGAGAGAGAGAGAGAGAGAGAGAGAGAGGAGAGAGAGAGAGGAGAGAGAGAGAGAGAGAGAGAGAGAAACAACTCTCGACAGAACCTTTTGCTGAATTATAATTCCCTCACGCAGTAATCTACGCCACGAAGGTAGGCCAAAGGGGTAATCGGTGACGATGTATGAGATTCAACTCTTTGTTTTCTTCTTCCTGCAGGGAGGAGTGGCGTGGAGGGGTCGCTGGAGCTCGGGAGGCCGTCCTCAACTTCCCTCAAGCTACCTTGTTGGCCAGTTTGGTCGGCCTCGGCTCCGGCACCTGGGCCAATACCGTTATTTCTGTCCTCTTCTTCGGCTGGCCCTTCCTCCTGCTGCTCCTCTACGTCGCCCTCATCTTCGTCTACCCGAACAGGAAGAGCGACAACGCCTTCGAGAAGTGAGTGAAGACTGAAGTTGTTTGTTGGGGTCCCGGTTGTCGGAGAGGCGTGGTAAGTTGTCGAGGTGTCTGGTCTTAACGAGTGTGGCCAGCCACATTTCGGTAATTGGGTGCTTTGAGGCTCATTCTTTTAAAAGAGTGGCAGACATGCCGTAAGTTTTCATTTGAGCTCGTGTCAGTGTGAGGGGTGTAGCTTGTGCTGTTTCTTATATAGCCTTTCAGGAAGAGAGAGAGAGAGAGAGAGAGAGAGAGAGAGAGAGAGAGAGAGAGAGAGAGAGAGAGAGAGAGAGAGAGAGAGAGAGAGAGATCGCCTCTCGATTCTCTACATGAACATCTTATGTGATACTGTATCAAAGAATTTTCTGGAAGCCAAGAAAGATAAAAGTCCACTCATCCTTCTCTGTCCTGCCTGATTACCTCCACCTTGTCTTATAACTCCAGATGGCCGCCTTTCTCTAGCCAAATTCTCAACTGAAGCTTAATGTTTAAACTTGTTTACAAACCTAAGCAATCTAAATGTTCCACTAAGTGTTTTCAAATTATTACTTCAAGTACTTTCATTGTATTATCGGCCTGTATATTTTCTTCTAAATCAGAGCCATATTGTCCTCCAGCTTTTGGGCATGTTGCTCCTCTTCGTTGGGCCACTTAGGAGGAAACTTGGACCATGAACAAAGGCTCATGGACTAAGAGCCTTTGTAGTTATATTTTAGTATTCACGGTGACAGGTTATCTGGGCTGACATGCAGATGCGCTTAGACTGAGGTCTGGTTTAAGGGCAGCTTTCGTTAGTGTCCACCGTGAGATTTAGTCTGTTTTCATCGCCTTTTTGCATCCAGTTCTTTCAGGTATTTTGTCAGTTTTAGTTACTCCTTTGTGCCTGAAAATGGGGAAAGGGAGGTAAAGGTAGTCTGGTTTCTCATTTGTTATTGAGAAACTAATCTCAATGATTTAATTGTGTGAGTATGGGTGTTACAAGGGTCTGGCGGGTTGATAATTGACCTTCATATTTATCGTGTTCCAGACACATGTCATCTATGATAGAGTCGTGGTCTCACTTGATGTACTCGGTGGAGGACAACTTCTTACAGTTCATGGAGGACGTGACGGACCCGGGCGAGGCTACCGACCCGCACTACCCGAAGAACACCCCCGCCATCGACTACCATGACCGCATGGCTCTCTACTTCGGCCCCACCGACTACCATGACGACGGCGGGGACAACGCTCATACCCAAAACACTGGTGGTCTCCATGGAGGACAGACACACACTGACCGCTTCCAGAGTCCAGCTATTCAATCCACTTTCGTCGATCCGTCCACCGACTTTATCAACCCTGTGATGTCCTTCCGTCCCGAGCACTCAGAGCCCCTGAGAAGCCAGTATAACGGAGATATATCCAGGCTGACAAACGATTACAATATCCAGAATAAAATTGCTCAGAAGGACCGGCAAAACTTTGTGAACGTGGTACTGGAGGCACAGTTCCAGCACGCGAAGCCCTCCAGCTCCCTCGCCGACCACAATGTTGTAAGGGGCTCCGTCTCGGGGGACGTGGCCCATCACCCACAACCCCCCGAAGTCACGCCGGCCGTCGACGCAATCCGCCAAAGACTTTGACGAAATTAACTTCAATGAGAATGTGACATTTCGCCTCAGGACTTCAACCAACAGCTCATCTCACTTCCGACTTGTAATTGGCGACCAACCGTCCCTGGAAGAACACGATTGGCTGGCTGCTCCTTGGCCCTCGAGGATTACCGTGAAATCCAGTAATTCTTCGCAAAGCGTGCAGCAGTCGAAGGCCAGGATCTCAAGCAGTAATGAATCGGGATCAGAGGCTAGCAGGAGGAAGGAAGAGGTTGATGAGACTGAAAGGGATGAAAACTTTACCCAAAATATTGCGTCTTGATAAGTTGCTTTATAAATATACCTCCCACATGCTTTCTCAGTTTTCACGTAACTGAAGAGGAAAGACTAGATGTGCTCTAAAAAAAATAGCTCGGTCAATAGAGCTTCGGTCTCACACACTAGGGGTCCAGGGTTCGAGTCTCATAGAGCCCAGGTGAATGGAAGGTCGATAGGCTCTACATAACACCGTCATTATCTGACATTGTATGCAATGTCAGATAATGTCAATGTCAGCCTTCTTCACCACCTTCGAGGTCAACCCCGGAACTCACAGATCCTGCGACGGTGCTGGAACCAATCGTATTGGCGTATGCCTTTCCACTGGAGACTTTCAGCGCCGTGGAGAGGGGGGACCTGCTGCCTGGGTAACAGCTTCTCCCCCGAATCAACCTACCCTGGCTTTGCGCCCTGGTGAGGCCACTCCAGACCGACAACCAGAGCGCAACTCCATAGTCTCCTGAGACTGATGGATGCCTACTATTACTACTTTAAAATATGAGTAAAATAAGTGATCTCAGACTTCTAAAATTACATATTGTTTAATAGTCTATTAACTGTATGCAGCCATTTAAGAATACGTTGAAAATAAATACTTATGTTCGTCCCACAGTGTATATAAACTGAAAATTATCCAACTCTTCGGGGCATATACACTGAATTATTTATTTTGAGGGTTGTCGCCGGAGACGATTGTGCACTCATCCTGTGAGCAGTAGGGCAAAAAAAGGATTATAAAGAACACAAAATATATTAACCTGACCTCAGCTGAATTTTTCCTCTTACATTGTTGTTATAGATTCAGCTACTTGGAACATAAAGTTCCAAGTAGCACGGGCTATGGTGAGCCCGTAGTGTCCTCTTACAGTTTTACCTAATCTTCAAATCTTAGAATTATAATAACAGGTAGCAACAAAATCTTTGCACAGCACGTTTATGAATTGGCATTATTATACAACGGCGGTTAATGCATTAAATAATTTAGTTTTACAGGATAAAAGAAGATTCCCTGAAAGTTTAGTTTAGTGAAAGCCAATGAGAGGGTTTGAAGAGCATGTGGGGGGGGGGGGGGAGTTGAGAGGGAGAATGGGGGGTATGGTGGAGAGAATGGGAAGGATGGTGAGGATAATGGGGGGGTGGGGATGGTGGGAAGATTCATGGGTAGAGGATAGGCGGCAGGAATGGTTTGGGTTAAATAGGTGAACGCTGATCTATCGAACAAGTAGATGGCGACACCGGGGCAACATTGGGTGTATCAACACAACACCGGGTGTACCGGAGAAGTTCTGTGGTGCTACCGGGTGTACCGGAACGAACCGGAGCACAACGGGACAATACCGAGTACTCGCCGACGAAGCTAAATATATCTGATCAGTACCATGTGTTCAAAGAACATAATTGGGAAAATTCCGAAGCATTTAGGATGCACCACAGAGAGGCCACACACACACACACAGACAGACACACACACACACACACACAGACAGACACACACACACACACACACACAGACAGACACACACACACACACACACAGACAGACACACACAGACACACACACACACACACACACACACACACACACACCGTAACTACGTGATTTACACGTAGTAACGCAATTCCTTTGTTTCAACGCTCTTGTGTGTTTGTCGGGGCGCATTTCCGAGCCTCATTGCTCGTGGACTCACGTGCTTCCAGCCTCCCAGTTTAATGGCTCCGTGTTGGGTCTAATTCGTCCGCTTATTTATGGCCTCTCTGTCTTCTCTCCCTCTGAGAACTCCGGCAGAAGTGGGGGTCACACACTTCCAGTTCATATGCCTGGTCGAGGACCGGGCCGCGGGGACGCTAAGCCCCCGAAGTCATCTCAAGATAACCTTAAGAAGATACAATTATAAACAGAGATATATATATACAGTTTTAAAATTAGAAAACGGGTGTCTTACAAGGTATCTGCCTTAAAATACTCGGTAGGTTGCTCTTAAGATGTATAATTCTCTAATGCCGCGATTTGGAAGTTTGTTAAGATTATTGAGGCTATACTAACCAAGGACGAGGCTGTCCATACGCTCACCCAATCAGTTACTAGCCAGATCCAACGGTGCTTAACCTAACTGAACGCATGAAGCTCATATCCTTCAATGTCCATCCATATTGGCTATATTTATGCCAATATCTACCTCTCTGTGTGCCAGCAAATTTCCAGAATATTTCTAGATTATTTAAAAAAAAGGGGCAAATCTTTGTTCTGTATCTTGACATAATTATTTCATCGCAGTAATTATATTAACGAGAATGAATGCAATGTTGCATTCTGAAAAGGGATTTAACTGAGGAGGGAATTAACGCAGTTGGAACTGCAGGTGGAGGTGGTCCTCGAGGAGGTGGTCTTCGAGAGGTGGAGGTTGTCCTCGAGGAAGTGGAGGTGGTCCTCGAGAGGTGGAGGTGGTCCTCGGGGGTGGTGGAGGTGGTCCTCAGGAGGTGGAGGTGGTCCTCGAGAGGTGGAGGTTGTCCTCGAGAGGTGGAGGTGGTCCTCGGGGGTGGTGGAGGTGGTCCTCGAGGGGGTGGAGGTGGTCCTCAGGAGGTGGAGGTGGTCCTCGAGAGAGGTGGAGGTGGTCCTCGAGGGGGGGAGGTGGTCCTCGAGAGGGGTGGAGGTGGTCCTCGAGAGGGGTGGAGGTGGTCCTCGAGAGGGGTGGAGGTGGTCCTCGGAGGTGGTGGAGGTGGTCCTCGGGAGGTGGAGGTGGTCCTCGAGAGGGGTGGAGGTGGTCCTCGAGAGGGGTGGAGGTGGTCCTCGACTCTCACAGATTGACGTTCTTAAATTACCTCCTCCAACTCCGTGACACCATACACGCGAAAGCTGTTGAAGCAGCCGAGGCAATGTTAACTTTGTTTTGGAGTAAGGTTGTGGTGGTAGACGACCAGAGTTGGTTGACCACTGTTAGGCGACCAGACTTGGTTGACCACTGTTAGGCGACCAGACTTCGTGATGTAAACTTAACACTTAGTTACCCTTCCCTGCGTTTGATTTCGGGGCTTAAAGGTCCCGGCGGCCCGGTCCCTGACCAGCTACATTTCAGATGTAGATCCTGCAGTTAATTAAAATTAACCTTGACAATGCAGTAATTCAAAACTAAATCAGCTGTATAAACAGTATAAATGTTGGAGCAATTAGTCCGCCCATTTACGCGGGTGATTACTCTGATGTGAACCAGTTGACGCTGTGATGAGTACGTATTTAAAGAGAGAGAATGAGTACGTATTTAAAGAGTGAATGAGTACGTATTTAAAGAGAGAGAATGAGTACGTATTTAAAGAGAGAATGCGTACGTATTTAAAGAGAGAGAATGAGTACGTATTTAAAGAGTGAATGAGTACGTATTTAAAGAGAGAATGCGTACGTATTTAAAGAGAGAGAATGAGTACGTATTTAAAGAGTGAATGAGTACGTATTTAAAGAGAGAATGAGTACGCATTTAAAGAGAGAATGAGTACGTATTTAAAGAGAGAATGAGTACGTATTTAAAGAGAGAATGAGTACGTATTTAAAGAGAGAATGAGTACGTATTTAAAGAGAGAGAATGAGTACGTATTTAAAGAGTGAATGAGTACGTATTTAAAGAGAGAATGAGTACGTATTTAAAGAGAGAATGAGTACGTATTTAAAGAGAGAATGAGTACGTATTTAAAGAGAGAATGAGTACGAATTTAAAGAGAGAATGAGTACGTATTTAAAGAGAGGCCGAAATGAGTGCTGTTACTCTTGATAGAGCCAACTGTCGTTTAAGGGACGTTTAAGGAGACGTTTAAGGGACGTTTCCTGATGTCTCTGTTCACCTGCCGGTTAAAATCAGGGACCTGAGAGTTAACTGACTGTTGTGGGTTGCACTCAGGGCACGAACGGTCGTTAGCCTCTAGTGGGACGTTCATAAGAAACTAGAATGACAACATACAGGTATCTAGCAGGTACAGTACGACGTGGTCATAGTGGACGGTGTGTGTGTGTGCACTCTGTACAAGAGGACCACGCCCAAATATGGCTTTCATGTCCCATAGATCCACTAAACCATCATGCGAGCACGTCTTATCAGAGCCGCATGCGGGTGTGTGTGTGTGTGTCTTGTCAGAGCCGCATGCGGGTGTGTGTCTCGTCAGAGCCGCATGCGGGTGTGTGTGTGTGTGTGTCTTGTCAGAGCCGCATGCGGGTGTGTGTGTGTCTCGCCAGAGCCGCATGCGGGTGTGTGTGTGTCTCGTCAGAGCCGCATGCGGGTGTGTGTCTCATCAGAGCCGCATGCGGGTGTGTGTGTCTCATCAGAGCCGCATGCGGGTGTGTGTGTCTCATCAGAGCCGCATGCGTGTGTCTCGTCAGAGCCGCATGCGGGTGTGTGTGTGTCTCGTCAGAGCTGCATGCGGGAGTGTGTGTCTCATCAGAGCCGCATGCGGGTATTTCATCAAAGACACTGGTTCCTGCGGGTGCGGCAAGCATTGAAGGGAGACCCCGCTGCTCACACCTCACTACCCAACAGGTGATTCAACCCTTAATGGTCCCGACCCTTGGCACTCTCCCTGCCTCTCTCTCTCCCTCCCTGCCTCTCTCTCTCCCTCTCTGCCTCTCTCACTCTCCCTCCCTTCCTCTATCATTCCCCCAACCCCCTCTTCCCCCCTCTCTCTTTCTCTCACCATCTTTCTATCTCCTCTTCTCCTCTCCCTCATTTCCCTTTGACCTCTTCCCGTCTCCCAATTACCTCATCATCTCCCTATCTCCCTTTCCATTCTCTTCCCACTCAACATCATCCCCCTCTCCTCCTCTTCCTTCCTTCAATCTTTCTGCATCTCTCTCATGCTTAGAGAAAAGAAGAAAAACGCTAAAAAACTGAACATTAGGTGCCACCTTCTGCTATCAGAGAGCAGAAGATGCTATTAAATAGCAGTTATCAAGTAGCATAAGCTGCTATCACAGAGGAGAAGATGCTATTAGATAGCCAGTTATGAAGTAGCATAAGCTGCTATCACATAGCAGAACATGCTATCAGCTAGCAGTTATGAAGTAGCATAAGCTGCTATCACAGAGCAGAAGATGCTATCAGAGAGCAGAAAATGCTATCAGAGAGCAGAAGATGCTATCAGAGAGCAGAAGATGCTATCAGAGAGCAGAAGATGCTATCAGAGAGCAGAAGATGCTATCAGAGAGCAGAAGATGCTATCAGAGAGCAGAAGATGCTATCAGAGAGCATACGCTGCTATCAGAGAGCAGAAGATGCTATCAACTAGCAGTTATCAACTAGCATAAGCTGCTATCACAGAGTAGAAGATACTATCAGAGCAGAAGATGCTATCAGAGAGCAGAAGATGCTATCAGCTAGCAGTTATGAAGTAGCATAAGCTGCTATCAGAGAGCAGAAGATGCTATCAGAGAGCAGAAGATGCTATCAGAGAGCATACGCTGCTATCAGAGAGCAGAAGATGCTATCAACTAGCAGTTATCAACTAGCATAAGCTGCTATCACAGAGTAGAAGATACTATCAGAGAGCAGAAGATGCTTTCAGAGAGCAGAAGATGCTAGCAGTTATCAAGTAGCATAAGCTGCTATCACAGAGCAGAAGATGCTATCAGAGAGCAGAAGATGCTATCAACTAGCAGTTATGAAGTAGCATAAGCTGCTATCAGAGAGCAGAAGATGCTATCAACTAGCAGAAAGTGCATTAACAGATGCAAATCAACTCATCGCAGACCTCAGTACTCATCACTGTGCCATCGTCACGACCCAGAGCTCCCTAGAACACAATAAAATCATATATACTTCTTATATTCCCAGAGCCATCCAGGAAGGCATCACCTGTCGGCACCAGGGCACACCCCCTCCCCCCTCCCACAGTGCCACCAGGTGCCACCAGGTGACGCTCAGTGCCACCTGCAAGGCTCCCAACACCCTCCTCCCGAGGCACTCTCCAGAGCCTGTTCCAGAGGTCTTATTTGTTCTGGTAAAGTTTGCAAGGATCTCTTGGAGGGTCTCTGCCCGTAGGAATTGGACTTGACGGCCGGAAATGAAGATCGGGGCGAGGATTCCCTGACAAGGCTGAGGGACTTAAGGCATCACTCCCGGCCGGACTTAAGGCATCACTCCCGGCCGGAGGCTCCAAGTTCTTCGGCCTAACTAGCGACTTCGGCAGCGAGGTGTAGTTAGGTCTCAACTTTACGCTGATAGGGAGTGAAATAGCCAGCGACCGCCTTCCTAGAGACATGATCCCGATATCCTCTGTTTATTGTTAAGCTGTTGGTTAATGCCTTTGACGTAACTGAGTGATTACTGTGATGTGACGGTAAAGTTGTCACTGATAAGTGTACACCTTTACCGTCAGTGACAACTGGTAAGTTGTTTGAATAAGTGTACGAAGTTGTATGCAAATAAGAAGCAGTAGCCTTCACGTACACTAACAAAGGTATCCACGTACACCAGAATAGATTACTGTGCACATCAGCGCAGTCATCCATGTACACATGGTTATTCTTAACATATATATATATATATATATATATATATATATATATATATATATATATATATATATATATATATATATGATATATGTATATATCAGCACAGTCCTATTCAACACAGTTCTATATATCAGTTTAGCACAGTTCTATATCTATTCAGCACAGTTCTATATCAGCACAGCACATGGATATTCTTAATATATATATATCAGCACAGTCCTCTAAAGTATACATGTATAGTCTTCCTGTATACACCAGCACAGGTTTACATGTACACCAACCAGCACAGGGCTCCTTGTACAATACGGTGAGTCTACCACTGCGCCGCCACAAACTTATCTCTCCAGAAGTTGATAGGCCTTAATAAGCTCCAGAAGTTGATAGGCCTACCCTCGTGAGGCTGATAAGCCTTAATAACCCATCAAAGGTTTACAGACTGTAAACCAAAAACCAAACCAATATGAGTGCAAAATAATAATAATAATAATAAAAATAATAATAATAATTATAATAATAAAAATAATTTTTAATAAAATATATGTGGACAATAATGAAACGAAGCTACAGTGTTGTTACATAACTTGTAACACTTACTTTATTCTGTAACGTTGTATTTATTCACAGAATAAATACGTTGTATTTATTCTGTGTCATCACTCACAGCAGTGCAGGCGATGAGTCACAATAACGTGGCTAAAGTAAGTTGACCAGACCACACACTAGAAGGTGAAGGGACGACGACGTTTCGGTCCGTCCTGGACCATTCTCAAGTCGACTTGAGAATGGTCCAGGACGGACCGAGACGTCGTCGTCCCTTCACCTTCTAGTGTGTGGTCTGGTCAACTCCCGGGAGTGTTACCACAATCACAAACATCATAAAAACGTCCTTTCAGTGTTCCCCAACAAAGGCTATGAGAATATTAGCTTCTGCCTTCTGTATTAGAGACTCCCTTACTTCTGGCTGGTTCTGTGGCTGTGTTATACCTGGACATGTATATGAGTGGGATTGGGGGGTTATAAATAGAAGCTGCCTCGTATGGGCCAATAGGCCTTCTGCAGTTGCCTTTGTTCTTATGTTCTTATGTTCTTATCATCACAGCCTAGCTGAACAGTGTTAATATCACCTTAGATAAACTCCTTCAGTGTTGTCATTAATCCCGAAAAATTACTCTAGTGTTGCCATCACCCCGAGACACATTGCCTCAGTGTTGCCACCTCTCATGCAGACACTCCCCCAGAATGTCAACATCACGCCAAACAAATTTCCCAGAGAAACCTCCACAAAAGCACTTCACTTACAACTAAAGTGCAACTTATTGTGTGTTCCCCCCCCCCCACTCCCCCAGTGTTTAGGGAAATACCCCCAGCTGACGGCACGAGATTCCCGGCAAATTATCCCCAGGATCCTGGTAATTCCTGGTGTCATTCCCATCCCATTCCCACGGCCGCCCGGAAACACGGATCAGTCACCAGGAAAATCCCCAACAAAAATTCTGGTTCCACGAGCGAAGAAAAATTACCGGAATTATTTCGTCTCAACTGCGGGTAGAAGAGACGTGAGAGGTGAGGTGAGGGGGTGACCTGAGGGGTGAGGTAACGGCCCCTGAGGGGGGGGGGACGTGAGGGGAGAGAGAGGGAAGTTATGGAAGGGGAGTGTGTAAGGGGGAAACGCAAGAGACTGACGAGTAGGTAGAACAGACATCTAGAGAGAGTTTTCCAGATTTCAGTTTAAATTTAAATAGAACGAACGAATCAGAAAGAAGCGATTTAAACATGGCGAATCAGAGAGAAGCTGGGTCAGTCGACCAATGATAGCGCGACCGATGAGGTCCACGAGCCAATGAGAATCCGGAACGTTACTAAATCGCTTGGCTGGCGGGATGTCGACGTGTCAAAAATGAGTCGGTGAACATCTTTTGAATGTTACAAGTTCTTGAAATATGTCGAGGGCTGCGTTGTCCCTCAGACTGATGCCATCTGTACTAGAGAAAGATGACATCTGCGGGGAACTAGGAGAGAGAGAGAGAGAGAGAGAGAGAGAGAGAGAGAGAGAGAGAGAGAGAGAGAGAGAGAGAGAGAGAGAGAGAGAGAGAGAGAGAGAGAGAGAGAGAGAGAGATTTGCTTTAAGTTAATAGAGAAATTAGTTGGCAGTCACATGTCTAGGCCGGGAATACAACACAACAAATTTATCCCCTCTAATAGGCTCAGTGATTTACATGCCGTCACGGACTCTTAACGAGTACTAGATTGTTGTTGTTATAGATTCAGCTACTCGGAACAAGTTCCAAGTAGCACGGGCTATGGTGAGCCCGAAGTGGACTTACCTGGGCACAGGAGCGGGGGAGTACTAGGGCAATCGGCCGCTAATCACAGTACCATCGTGTCGAGGACAGGTGGCGCTGGTGTTGTCCCCCTCTGGGAACCCCCCCCCCCCTTCCCCGCCTTAAGAGTAGAACACCCAATATACTGTGAACTATTATTATTAAATAAATTGATTAGAATTAACAGTTCTAATGAATCCCACGACTCCATCAGAGGGATAATTCCCCTCCCTCGACGCCATCAGAAACTCGGGTAGATCAGGTACAACTGGATGAGACTGTATGTCCTGAGTGACGGACAATCGTGAAATCAGAAAATGCTTTCTAAACATGACCAACAAATTGGAAAAAAATTCCTAATCGCGTAGGGGCGACCGTGAAAAAATAGGTGCAAAAAAAACAAAAAAAAGATCCACATACGCGTCAAGCATGTTTATGTTTGGGGAAAAAACAAACAAACAGTGTTTGGTGAGACTGAACACCAATCAATTCGGCAATTGGGTGCCAAAGTGCCATCGAGTCTGGCACCTTTGACGGCTGTGAAACCATGGCGCTCCTGGTGTGCAAGGATGCGGCGGTGGCGGGGGGGACTATGCTTTGTCAAGTATTGCTGCATAATATGCGGGAGTGCCACGGCTCTATGAAGCAGTGCCACAGTTGCACGTAGCAGTGCCACCGTTGCACGTAGCAGTGCCACAGTTGCACGTAGCAGTGCCACCGTTGCACGAAACAGTGCCACCGTTGCACGAAGCAGTGCCACCGTTGCACGTAGCAGTGCCACCGTTGGACGAAACAGTGCCATCGTTACACGAACCAGTGCCACCGTTGCACGAACCAGTGCCACCGTTGCACGAACCAGTGCCACCGTTACACGAACCAGTGCCACCGTTACACGAACCAGTGCTACCGTTGCACGTAGCAGTGCCACCGTTGGACGAACCAGTGCCACCGTTACACGAACCAGTGCCACCGTTACACGAACCAGTGCCACCGTTGCACGAACCAGTGCCACCGTTGCACGAACCAGTGCCACCGTTGCACGAACCAGTGCCACCGTTGCACGAACCAGTGCCACCGTTGCACGAACCAGTGCCACCGTTGCACGAACCAGTGCCACCGTTGCACGAACCAGTGCCACCGTTACACGAACCAGTGCCACCGTTGCACGAAGCAGTGCCTCGACTACACGCATCATTGACACAGCCTCGTGAATCAAGGCAGCGTCTGTAAGAGAATACGAAGCAACTAAGCATTAGAGACCTTCAAGAGCCTCCAGGCGCCTGGTCCCAAAGCAAAGGAATCCTGCTGGTTTCTTCCTGTTACCATGATATAGTATGTATTATTCCCCCCCTTGACCTCTGGCACGTGCTGGCACGACCGGCCAGCACGTGCTTGCGTCATCATGGCACGGGACCATTGCACGGGGCCGTTACGAAAGAAACTACGCAATAAAAGATAATGCAGATAAGAATAAAGAACTAAAGAATGACTATTAACACATGAGAGGGCGCTCCGATTGGTCCATGAGAGGCAGCTTCTATTGGCCCACGATAAGCAGCTCCTATTGGCCCATCCGAAGCAGCTCCTATTGGCCCATCCGAAGCAGCTCCTATTGGCCCATCCGAAGCAGCTCCTATTGGCCCATCCGAAGCAGCTCCTATTGGCTGGCATAGCTGTCACGGGACTCAGAAAAGAGAGAGAGAGAGAGAGAGAGAGAGAGAGAGAGAGAGAGAGAGAGAGAGAGAGAGAGAGAGAGAGAGAGAGAGAGAGAGAGAGAGAGAGAGAGAGGAGAACTATCTGAACTACTAAACACCATAGTGCACATCAGTACGTAGAACTGACTGTATATTTTCATTAACGAGACGCAATGCCTTTCGCATATTTTTTGCAAAATAATAGAGCATTTATATATATATATATAACACATATATATATATATTTATAGAGCAAGAATTATAGCGAAACATGCATATTTATAAAAAAAACACGGTTCCCGTTCCGTATTTGCATGTAGGAAAAAAAATATTATGCTGTATTTTTAAACTACAATAAAATTCTTATGGAATATTTATTATTGAACAGTGACACGGGACGTACTGTGCTAGGCACACCGGCACGGGTGTGTGTAGATAGCACGTTGATAGCACACACGTGATAGCAGAAGAGCACTCGCGTGCACTAGCACTCAACACGCGCGTGCGTGTTGAGAAGCACAAAGGAGAACACCCTCACAATTACGTGCGGGTGCACTAGCTCACAATTACGTGCGGGTGCACTAGCTCACAATTACGTGCGGGTGCGCTAGCTCACAATCACGTGCTCCAGGTCTTCCTCATGCTCCAGGTCCTCCTCATGCTCCAGGTCCTCCTCATGCTCCAGGTATTATGGGGAGGACATGTGCTTGCAAAATTCTTAATGAAAGCTTGAAGCTTCGTTATGGAAATTGAATGACTTTTATGCCTATATGAATGTCTTATCTAATGCCGAGTCGCTGGGAGGGAGGAGCAGGTGGACTTGGAGGCAGGGAGGGGATATTGAGGCAGGGAGGGGGTATTGGAGTCACCGACGGAGTATTGGGGCAGGGAGGGAGTTATTGGGGGGTAGGGAGGGGTATTTGGAGGCAAGGAAAGACATATGGGAGGCAGGCAAGGGGGAATGAGGCAGGAAATGGCATAGAGAGACAAGGAAGGGGAAACGGAAGGCAGGGAATCGAATGCGGGAGACAGGGAACGGAGTATTAAGAGACAGGAGAAAGGAATATTGGAGACAACGAGTGTGTGAAACAGGGAGAGGAGGTATGACCTACAGAGACAAGCAAGTGAACCTACAGGCGATGCCCAAACACACACACCCAAACACACACACACACACACACACCCAAACACACACACACACACACACACACACACACACACACACACACACACACACACACACACACACACACACACACACATACACACATACACACACACACACACACACACACAGCCATGTAAGGAAGCCAGTCTTCGCCATCCCCACAGAGCACACAAGGAATATGAGGCAGAGGCCAGGGGTGTGGGGAGAAGCTTTGCGCTAATAATACTCCAGACGAGGAGAAGAGTCAACACGCGACCAGACACACGACTCTCCATCACCCAGCGGCACTTCCTCCGTCAGCCACAACGGCAGGAGGAGCAACCCGGCAAATACTCACAGCCCACAAAGACAGAGGGGCGCCCACGGAGGCGTTAAGTCTCCCCTCTAGACTTGTGGAGCCTCTCTATGTCCTCCTTGATAAATACTTTGTCAGATATAACTGTTCCTCCTCCTCCCAAAGAGAGAGAGAGAGAGAGAGAGAGAGAGAGAGAGAGAGAGAGAGAGAGAGAGAGAGAGAGAGAGAGAGAGAGAGAGAGAGAGAGAGAGAGAGAGAGACAGGGGGGGGGGTGCACAAAGGGTAGGGATTAGAGATTCGATGTGATTGGAGGCTGCGTCAGCTATCCAGTTACACATGGATATTTAATTAAGTAGACAGACTTCCAATTATGTGACGTCACGTGAGCATAATTAAATTAATTTGTTGTGTGAAATTATATATGTGCTTGTGGGAATATGGTGGATTCTGAGACACACACACACGCACACACACACACGCACACACACAGATATGAAGATAAAGTTAAAAAAACGAGAAAGACAAAACAAAATATATATATATATATATATAATAAACAAAAGAGCCTCGGTAAGGACCTTGCAAACAAGAGTCATTACATTAGCATAATGTCTGGCGACATAACTTCTCTTCATTACCAATGATGGTAAGCTTGGGCACTTTCATGAGTCTAGTTGCAGACACGGTCCTACCACACCCCCTTATAGGACGGCTGGGCTCCTTGCAATACCCCAGGGGCTCCTTGCAACACCCAGGGGGGCTCATGGCAACACCTCAGGGGGCTCATGGCAACACCTCAGGGGCTCCTTGCAACACACAGGGCTCCTCGCAACACCCCAGGGCTCCTCGCAACATGCAGAGATGGTGCCGTAGTGTACTTTAGTAGCCGACTTCCTGATGGTCATCGCGAACTCTTCTGCTGATGTCAAGAAAACGGTCAATTTAAAGTGTCCTCTAATAACCTACCAGAGGACCCAAAACAGAAAACGGGACAGTACGTCACTTTCGCCAGCCGCTTCCATTTTCTAGTACGACAATTCTTGGCCTTACGTGACGCATACGAGCGAAAAGCGACGTTCTTTGTAAGAGAACAGGTTGGATTGACAACTGTTCCTACTGCTAGGATGAGTAACTTATAAGCCTTGAATTGTCACTTTGATGATTACTCACAGAAATCACAATTGCGTGATGCATCAAATGAACAAATCCACATGGGCCGTGACGAGGATTCGAACCTGCGTCCGAGAGCATCCCAGACGCTGCCTGGTCTGGTTTGTACCTCGGAGAGGCTGCAGGATCCAATAAGTTCAGTAGAACTTCGGTTTCAACTCCTTTTGACCATGTCGTAGCTCAGTCGATTAAGGAAGCGTCTGGGATGCTCTCGGACGCAGGTTCGAATCCTCGTAACGGCCCTTGTGGATTTGTTCACTTGGATGATCTTCTCGCAGTATTCGATCTGAAAGGATTGATTAAACCACATTTCTGCTTCCGGATTCTGGTCATTCGGTTTCTCAAGACGAAAATGCAGTATTCGCTTCACTGGACCGCCCTACAGGTCGAGGGGTATGAATTAACTCGTAAATTCGGGCCAGATGAGAGGGGGAGACTTGGCCACTCCACCTCTCAGACCATTGGCGTCCTGGATGGTAAGTCTTGCTCCGGGACACATCATCGTCCACAAGTCCAAGTGTAGTTCTCTGGGTGTTAGAGAAGTCTCTTCAAGCCTTGTACATGGCAGGGTGTGATTTGTGACCAGGCCTGCAGAATCAGACTTTGTCAGATTTTTACCAAGTCCTCAGATTAGACTTCGTTTATGTCAGTTTTTTTACCAAGTCATCAGATTAGACTTCGTTTATGTCAGTTTTTTTACCAAGTCATCAGATTAGACTTTGTTTATGTCAGTTTTTTTACCAAGTTCCTCAAATTAGACTTTGTTTATGTCAGTTTTTTTTTATCAAGCCCTCAGATAAGACTTTGTTTATGTCAGTGTTTTTACCAAGTCCTCAGATTAGACTTTGTTTATGTCAGTTTTTTTTATCAAGCCCACAGATCAGACTTTGTTTATGTCAGTTTTTTTTACCAAGTCCTCAGATTAGACTTTGGTTATGTCAGTTTTTTTTATCAAGCCCTCAGATTAGACTGTTTATGTCAGTTTTTTTTACCAAGTCCTCAGATTAGACTGTGTTTATGTCAGTTTTTTTTTATCAAGCCCTCAGATTAGACTTTGTTTATGTTAGTTTTTTTTATCAAGCCCTCAGATTAGACTGTGTTTATGTCAGTTTTTTTTTATCAAGCCCTCAGATTAGACTGTGTTTATGTCAGTTTTTTTTTATCAAGCCCTCAGATTAGACTGTTTATGTCAGTTTTTTTTACCAAGTCCTCAGATTAGACTTTGTTTATGTCAGTTTTTTTTTACCAAGCCCTCAGATCAGACTTTGTTTAGTTATAGCTGTCTTGAGGCATCTGAATCCACACATAAGGGGTTCAAATGCCAGCTAGTCATGAAATATTCAACATTACTATTCACACCCCAGCTTGCTGCAGAATGCAAGAGGTCCAACACCATGTAATTTTTGTAAGGTTTAAAACGAAAAACCAGAGGAAACCGGTTGCCGATAGGATCCAACTTCGGGTGTTCTCTGGGCAAAGACCAAACAGGAATATACTCATTCAGGGACACAATTACCACCACAAACTCGGCAAGATAAGGACTTTTGCCGCCAACAATCAAGAAAATGCTGACCAATTGTACTGCCAAGATGAAACTTTCCTTTCCCACTGAGACAATTTTCTTATTTTGTATAAATTTTATCGAAACTTTCAGCGGTGACACACACACAAACCGAAGATATTTATCGGTTTTAAACTAATGCAGTTAGAATATGTAAGGGCTTGTTATCCCTATTGGCTATCCCACATTCACTCATATACCTATTACCTTTATCCTCAAAGACTGTTTGTCTCAACAAAGCTATCCAGCAATCCATCTCCCTCATCCACACCATATTCCCAAACCTGCATACCTCTCTATATTCCATTTACCTATTGAGTATTTTATTCTACCAAT